AAAAAAACGGACCGAAAGATATTCCGGCAGTACCACGGTAATATCTACAGTTGGAAGGATATGAGATAACAACTGGAAACACCTCAGCTACTCGTCTCCAAGCCTAACCTTTCAAGAATCCAACAAATTTTGCAGCTATGACGATGGGAGATAGAGAGAGATAGAGAGAGAGAGAGAGAGAACGATGAGTGAAGATGGATCGTAGAAGAGAGAACAATGTAATGGAAAAAGGAAAGAGTATGATAGCAAAAGATTGAAAGATCTCTTGAGGCATCGGTATATTTGATGGTTACAACGGATAAGAAGAAAGAGGAGGAAAAAATTGCATAAAAGACTGAGATACGGAGGAAAAGTATGTTAATGAGAAAGAGTAGTAAAGAGGAACTTTAATGAAATGATAGAGAGGAAGAGAGAGAGAGAGAAAGAGAGGGTTATCTTTACCCGAGCAATCGTTGCTTATCCCTTTAATGTTGCCTTCTTCCTTTCCAACAACCCATAGTTTATTGGACAATTATCGCTGTTTTGCAAATTTCAACTATTTCATTCTAAGTAGGATTTCCATTTCCAATATAAATCACGTGTAATGAATTGCAAAAAGCACTAAAAATACACGGGAAATGGAAGGTCACATAACGCTGTATTACTTCCAAAGTGACATATGTATTTACCTCAACCATTATAATATCTGTACATTACATTTCGTAAAATCTTGAAGATCTTGAAAAAATCTTGAAAATATGGATAAGAGATGGAAGCAACGTTAAGTGAAGAATAGATCAGAACAACGTATAACTCATCCGTTATGCTAATATATTTTGTGCAGCACTTTATCGCATTTTTATATTTATGTTTAAACGACGGAATAGTAACACTCAATATTTCATGTTGTCTTTTCATTCGTTTTGATGATTTCGTATTTATCGTGTGTGATTCAGAGTAATTAATTCGATGTGAATCATGTGAAATGAATGCATTTAGCGTTTGAGATTTTATTTCGAATGTTTAATGCATGTGTAATGCAGAAATTTGTTGAGTGAATTTAAATAGGATCAAATGTTATGCAAAATTTACCAATTTATGTAGCATTTACATATACATGCGTACTTTATAGAATTGATATTGATGAGCCAGAAGAAGATACTTGGGACGGTTACAGAATGTACAGAGATTTGTGATGATTCAGTGTCTTTACTGGGAGATACCAATCTTTCAGTTCTAAATATTTCAGGACTTTCAACAGGTAAGGAGCAAATTGTTATAGGAAGAGTCCAATTTTTTTTTTCCTAAGATTGCTTCCAGCGAGATTATTGTAATCTGAAAGATGAAGAAGAAAATTTCTGAATGAAATTAGGACTTGAGTCGATATTGGATAAAGTTAATTTTACTTAGAGTCTCTTGAAAAATAATTGAAATATGCGGATTCGCGCATCATTTTGAGCTAATTAAATGTAAATGTGAGTTTATGAAAAATTGAATATTAAAGTTTCACGCTTGTTTTGCCTGCAGAGAAAGAATGTAGTGAAGTAACGAAAAATGATGAGAAGGATAAGGGAAGATGGATTTACGCAAGACCGTCCAGGTTGAATTTTGCATCATTATTTCACGTTGGATCGAATCGAAAATACAAAAGGTTCTTACTTTTTCTATCTCTTATTGGTTAATGTGTTTTGCTATCTAATATTTTTGAAGTTGCAATGCTGTTATATTATTCTTTAGGTGTCTCAACGTGAGGATACGTTTAAACATTGTGTGATTTGGTCGTTAGTGTAATAAGCCGAGAATGAGTTATAACGACATATGGACTGTAGCCAGTCAATCTTACTGATTTAGTCTCTTTTCTTATCTATTTTACTCTAAAAATTTCCTTATGATCAGTTATCTGTAGTTTGATTAAATCGAGTATTCGAGTAAGCGTATGCTGCAATATTTCCCTGACTTCATTGAAGTTTTTGCGAGTTTTTGACATTTTTATCTTTCATTTACAAATACTAACTCTTGCCCGTTACTTGTAAAATGATATTGAAATCTGAGTTCTCTGAATCTAATTGTATGAATTCAAAAGTGAAATATTGCAAGGAAAAGTGAAATATTGCTCGGAATGCTTGTCTCCAGAAGCTTCTTTGTTATTGTTCCTGAATATCATAGTTTCTCACAAGAATTTACAAGTAAAGAAGTTACAGCGTATTATTTTTGGAGTCGTTTCTGCAGGGACATGAAGCATTGTATTATATTAGTTTAGATTTTTAAATTTTTTTTGCTGTTTGCCTGTTAGAATAATATTCAAATCTATTTCCCTAAATATATTTTTGAAATTTTTGATACATACTATCCTAACTAGCAAATTTTCAAAGATAATAACAAAAGTATCTTCATTTAAGACAAGATCCCAATACCTGCTATACATTTGTGATGAAAAATGAACGAAGCTATCTCCATTTCAGAAGTAGTAGCGTAGTAGATATAGCATCATCAAAATGTGTCGATGAAATGATTCAAATAAATAACGATCGTACATTATCTAATGCAAATGCTGGCTCGGTACCACAATTAGATTCTCGAATTCTCCAAGACAGCTGTTCATCAAGTGTCGGTGAACAATCACAATTTGCGAATAGTGAAGATGAACATGGTAAGTTTCTTACATTTTTCATTTTATTACGACCACTAATATACGATAATACAATATCTGGTGGTTGTACTGCATGTCGAATATAGAGGCACATAAATAGGTAAAGCTTACATATCAATGAAGTATCTGTGTTAGTTCAGTAATTGTTTTATTATAGGTAATATTAGTTTATAATTAAAAGAATGAAATATGAAGTATTAACAAAATCTAATTTCATCCAATTTGAGAATGGGTTATATTCTATTTATACCTACAAGTAAGAGAATAACAATTTGAAGTCTGATGAGATGGATATAACTATAAGGAGTTCCCAGGTTTTTTATTCTTTGATATTAATGATAGTGAAGAGACTTGAACACACATTACAAAACATTAATGATGAATCTTCATGTTCTGATACAGTGGCCACATCTGATGCTAGTTCACTACAAACAGTACCACAACATTCACCGTTGAGTAATTCCTCTGCTCGAAAATATTGGGAATGTCCGTTGTGCTTCATTCGACAACCGTTAGCGAATTTTCCTCGTCTTTCTTGCTGCAGCCATCGATCATGTAAAAGTTGTCTTGTGCAAGTTAGTTTCCTTTAATCAGTTAGCGCATACTATATATAATCTGGTAGTGACGAACTCATGTCAGAAACAGATTTAACTGAATAAATACAATTCTCAAACTATTCATCGTAGTTCATTCACTAGTTAAGCTCTTTTTACATCGCATTATCTTCATCAGTCGACAAATGAAAATAATATCTAAGGTTTGCAAAAAATCTTCAGTAGTAAATTGTTGTTGTTGCATAACTTGATAGAAAGAAATTCTTTTCTTTACATTTTTATTTTTGAACTGTTTATAGTACTTGCAAGTAGAGATAATGGAAAGCAGAGTGCAGCTGACATGTCCAGAATGTAATGAGTTGCTTCATCCAACCGATATCTATTCCTTAATGGCACATTGCCCTGATTTAATTAAAAAATACGAAACATTTGCATTGAGACGTGTTTTAATGATGGATCCAGATACTCGTTGGTGTCCAGCACCTGACTGCACGTTAGTTTCTCCATTTTTTAACTCTAAATGTTTTTTGTTTTTTTCAAAAAAAAAGAATGAGGAATTAATGACGGATACCAAATTCTTTTAAATATGAAAGCATTAACAGATAAATGTGGTTAATGTTTTGTGCACTGATTGTTATGTCTGAAGTCAGTACCTAAATTCAGATACGCAGTTATCGCAACAGCATGTGCTGCTTGTCCCGAACTACGCTGTGAACGACCCGGTTGTGGTGCACTTTTTTGTTACCACTGCAAAGGACCATGGCATGCCAGTCAAACCTGTGATGAAGCTCGTAAGGAACGTGGAGAAATATATCGACGAGCGGTACCACAACTTTCGACTGCACAAGAAAGCACCCTCAAACGTACTGTGATATTTGTATTCTGTGTCTTATCCAGAAGTAGCTAAGAGGAGAATGAATGATTTAAAATTAAATAAGAAGGGTTAATAATTTTAGAATGATTTTCAGAATACATTTCGTATAAATGGAATTTTTTTTAAATGATTTAAAAAATTCCATTTATACGAAAATTTTTAATAATTAATAATCGGTGCACTTCATTTCATACACATATGGGAATGCATTATAATAAAGATAATATGTAATATGTATTAGTGTTATTTATCATGTTTATTTGAGTAATTTAGGTGGAGATATCAAAGCATGTCCTCGATGTCGTACATACATTGTTAAAATGAATGACGGTTCATGCAATCACATGGTTTGTGCAATGTGCAGCTCCCAATTCTGCTGGCTTTGTTTGCGGGAAATCAATGATTTGCATTACTTGAGGCAGTTAATTAATATTTTTTATGCAAATAATAAAGATTGAAGATAGGCAGTTATTTTACTGAAATGCAAAACAATGCATTCATTTGATGATTTATTTGTCTATTTAGTTTTTTGACAAGAGGAAAAGCTTTGGATCGGAAAGAAAGAGCTAAATAAAGCTGAATAACTTTTAATCTTTCAGTCCCACGGGCTGCACTTTTTGGGGAAAAAAACCTTGGACCAGAAAGAAGAAATTATTGTGTCAGATTGGAACTCTAATTGGTGCACCTGTTGGTATTGCATTGATTGCAGGTTTAGCAATACCAGGCATAATTTTTGGAGTACCCGTATTTGTTGGAAGGTAATTGGATTGTAACTGAGTTGTAATTCCAGATTTTGTTTTTTCATTATATTAAAAGTCACTTGATGTTTTCAAATCATTAGATGTTGTCTTTATTGTTTAACTGTTTTTTTTTTTTTTGAATCCTCTCTGTGATTGGTCGATATCACATCAATTTGACTGCTTGAAAGTGACCATATTGACAGCAGAATTGTTTTTTAAATCATCAATAGATTATTCAGTGATTCCTTTATCTCTATCCTGCTAAGTGTATTGATTGAGACGATCTCAGATTCGTAACACACGTAGTCGGAATTTGTGAAAGACTTCGTTGCAGCATTCTTGTGGACAACGCTAACTGTTTCCTATTAAGAATTAAATTAAATAAGTTGATATTTTTCAGGAAAGTGAACCAGCGTTTTTCTCATCTAACTAAAATTCGTAGACGCTGTTTAACGGCTGGAAGTGTAATAGGCTCACTTGTCGTTAGTCCAGTTTTGGCTGTAATGGCTGTTGGTTAGTTCTTCTGTTGCTAAAAAAAATATTTTTAATTCTAAATCCTATTAATCCCTAATGTTTTATTTTGTATCGCAGATATTACATTTACATTTACAGGTGTAGGAGTTCCCATTATGTTAGCTTATGTTTACGGTGTCGTACCGCTATCTTTATGTAGAAATGGTGGGTGTGGTGTTGGTAGTGGTTCATCAAAACCAGATCAAGACGATCTTGATAATGACGAAATTTGGCATGAAGTAAATATGCGTAAGTCTTAGTACACCATGCTTGCAAACTTTTTCGTTACTTTTTCATTTAGTAAAATATGTTACATACGTAAGACAAATGTTGCGATTGTTTTCTGTTTTTGTTGCAGGCAGCCATGAGAAATCACCGCTGCTGAGCGATATGGAGCGGCAGGATGGTACATCCGCTATCACTAGAATATCAGTAAATAGTGGTTTATCAGCTGCGCAACAGATGCCTAACCGTTTACAGGTACAGGCAGAATTATGTCGTCGCAGGCCGAGCATAGAATCAGGTAATCTTATTTTCGCATTATTCGAGAAATAATATAACACTGGTGTATGTTCCCTTTATTCGAATCTGTAGCCTTTTAGGGATCAATAGCTTGGGTGATAAATGCAACTATGAGGAAGCGAGTACCAAGGCAATGGCTGGTTCGCAGTATAATGATGACAAGGTTAAGTTCTAAGTTGTTTGTATGTTTTTAGGCCCATTTAATGAGTTATATGGGTAGAATAATTCCGGAATGTGTACTTTTGAAGTTGTTACTGCAAAAAATATAGATGAATCATTGTGAAAAACATGAACTGTTCATGTCATTTCGATTCATTCACTGTTTCAGAGATCAGCTTTTGAATTAAATGAGTTTTGTCCAGTTTCTGTTATTGGTAGTATTTGCATTTGACTGTGATTTAATAAGAAAAGTCAAAAATGAAATCATTAATGTATTTGAGAAATAAATTTCAAAAGTTACAGAGTTTGCAAACTGTATGTTCTGGTCAAGAAGCAGTGAGTTATTGCGAAGAAGTAGCAAGTATTGTTGCTTTATCAGGTTCGGTTGTTGATGCAAAGTCACTCACTGATAGTGCCAGTGGACGTGTTTTTGTAACACAGATGTACTGCCGTGAAAGAGATCTGAGTCCATCATCACAGCATGCCATTGTTTGTAATGATCTTTCAAAATCAGGTCATTTAATTAATTTATGGAACTGAAAAGTGTTTAGTTTGTAAAAGAAATTTGTTAAAAGGTATAAATGAAATGTCACATAAAAATGAGTGTTTAATCTTTGTTTCAATTTTTGCATATATAATTGAGTGTATCTTTTAGCTTATTGCTGGTCTTTCTCAGTGAAAATATTCATTCACGAATCTTAACTAATTGGCAAGATTTCAAACCAGAAATTGCATTTTTAGCACTTTATAAGTTTTCAAAAGTTTCAGGTGATGAACGTTCTTGCGGAAGTCAGCAGCATACTCGGCAAGAAACAATTGCTCATACTCGGTATTTATTATTTTCCTTTACATTAAAAATTTCATTTTAATCTAAAGTTTGTTATATTTTTTATTACTCTTTCTGGAGTAGGCAGTTTTTTGCGGTTAACTTTCCTTTATTTGTTGTATTAAATAAATTTATATCGTTATAGAGAAGATTCTTTGTCGTGGGGTGGTGCTTGCAAACGTCGTGGTCGCGCAACAAGCATTATTTCTGCTACAAGTGGCGGTGTAGCATCACATCGGGTTGCACAAACATATTCCAGTGTAAAATGTGGCTTCATTACTGAGAATGTTTCAGGTAATTTGCTAGTGAGTTTATGGCAAATGCTAATAAATGATACCACTTCAGCCGAATAAGCTTAAGCGTGGATATCGAACATAAACAAGAAGATACATAGCAAGAATAAAAAATTGAAAAATTTTTCTTTATATTTTTGCAGGAGGGGATTCCAATGAATTGTTGCTAATGACAGATGAAGCAATCCCTCAATCTAGCGATACAAATAAAGATTTAAAGCCGCCATTTTCAAGTTCGATTAAATTTCATCAGGTATAGAAATTTTTCAGTATTCAGATTTACAATTTATTGTTCATACTAATAATGGCTGTGCAGATGTATGATTTGAGTGCTACAATTGTTGATCTGCTAAGGCTGCTAATATTTATTAACTTATTGACCATTAGATATAAATGAAACGTCCATACGAACACTTACTGCTTTTCTTATGACATCAGAACATTTTTCAATGGTTTCAAATTCTTTCAATGATACTTTTGCTTTTATAATATTCAAGAGATAGCAAGACATTATTTAGGTTGTGCGTTCCTCTCATTCAAGTGATTCTTCTGATTCGAAACCTGATCGATTTCACATCCGTGCCATTTTTGATACTATGAAGAGAATCGTTTCGGATGATGTTGCTTCTGAATCTGAAAAAGAGTGAGAATCAAAAATTCTATATTAAAATAATTTCCATTTTATATTTTAAAGAGTCGTTATCTTTGAATTACTTAAGTGATTAATAAGGGAGTAAACAAAACCATGAACTTGTATTAAACAATTGCGTTCTGTCTTTTCCCTATGGCCTTTTTTCATAAAATTCAGCAGTAGATCGAGATTTTCATATTACTAAATTTTCATTGTTAAATTTTGCAAATATTGCTATTAATTATTAAAAAACTGAAGGACGTTTCAGATTGGAAGTTCAGCAAATCGGTAATTTTAATTTCCATTCGGTTTTGCGCCGTCCAGTATATAAGAATACAAATTTAAATAATACCTGTTAGCTATTCTTTATTTCTAAATACCATTCTCAGTTTTGAGTACTTTTTATGCTCAAACTACCACTCTTTAAAATTACACTCACTGAATGCATGCTAAAAATGGATGCATGCTAAATGAATGCATGCTAAATAGTGTTATGAATGTGATATCTAAGGGTGATTTTCTTTTTTGCAGATAGTCATACTGCTGGTGCATTTTCGAGTGGCGATAACCAGCGCGTACTATCCTCTGGTTCAGAGCATTCCATTGCGACAAACTGCACTAAAACAGATCGCAATAGTGATGAAAAGAATGATATAGGAAATAAACGGCGTTTCTTTCCAAATCTTTTTATCAAACGTTGAAAGTAAAATCATATTTTGATTTATTTTGTTCATTCTTGGCTAGTAATGAAAAATTCTCTCTTTTAAAATTTTTTATTCGCTTCATATCGTGATAAAGTGCGTTAGAAACCATTTGTTAGTCTTACTGTACATTGATTTTGCGGGTATCTGGACTTTCATTCAACTAACACTGCATTTTTCTCTATTTAATAACTAGCTATTTATGTGCTATTTATTTTGATTTTAATTATGTCACTCGTTGTGGTCATTCTGGAAAATTAGTTTCTATATTTCTGTTCTCCTCAGGTTTTCCAGTGAAAAATCTATGGATGCTTACTATTGTACTAATTTACACTAAGAATTGTGATAGGATTTGTTTTCTTTTATTGTTGGATATAAATAATGTAGTATTACTAAAGGTTATTGGATGTACAATAATTAAGTGATACATTTTTTTTTTACTAAGGAATATATAGGAAGCTAAGTTGAATTTTGGCAGAATAATTTGGTAAAAAAACGAAATATAAATGAGAGAGTACGAATTAGTTTACAGGGATGCTATATTCGGTGTGGTTCCGATTTACCATATTTTCATTGTTCAGAATGCAAGTTCATATTCCCCATTCTATTTATTGATCGTTTTGTATCATAGAATTATTTATAATGCCTTATTAAATAAATATTTCGACTCATTTTCTTTACAGGTTTTCAATCCCATCATAAATACCTTTTATGGTCTTTTGACAGTGCTTCATTTCTAGTGTTTACGATTCAGATTTCAGGTCCGCGGTGCATGAGGCAACTAATTCGGGTTTTACATTCATTTCCTTTCGCATTCTTCCATTACTGATTTAAGTATCAGGTTCTCTGACTGAAGTATTCTTTTCCCTCCATACTTCCATTACTGATTTAACTATTGGATTTGTTAGTAAAATTATAAGCAGAAGGGGATTTGACGTTTAGGGATTTATGAAACGAAATGGGAACATTATCCATTCTCTTCCAATCGATTGATCGAAAGAAAATTTAAGCCTTAAGATATATTATGCGATCTTTTTTTTTACAATAATATTTTTCCATTTGAAATCTTGTTTTTGAATGTGTTGAGAGAGTAAGAATATTATTTCTACATAGTTGTGATGATTGAAGTATAATTGTTGAGAATTATTTAGAAGTTATTGTGACACTTCTTTTTTTTCATTTTTTGCAGTGATTTCTATATTGTAACATTCAATCAAGTAAGAAGCGCATTTACGATCAACTAATCAAAGGCTGTTGGAAAATTTTGTTGATTTTGTGTTCGAAGATTGCTTTTTAAAAGAAAGTTTTTTTCTCTTTAAATATTTCTCCCTTTAAGTTTTAAGATGCTTTGTAAAATCATGAAACATTAAATGGCATGCATTTTTTGCTGACTGTAATTCATTATTAAATTATTTTTTGTGCAATTGCAGACATCCGTTTTTTGGTATGCCAAATTAATGAAATACTTCAAACTTCTAAAAACTTCTAGTTGCAAAATTTTGCTTCGTCAGATGTCAGTCTTAACTTAACAGTGAAATTTTTTGTCTTGAAGCAGTTAAGGAATTATGACAATAATTTGAGGATGCTTTCTTCTAAAATATACTGTTTTAAGCTTTTGGTCTTCCATGTCACAACATTATTTATCGCCCATTTGTTGTTTATTATTGTGCTTCATTTTTTTTTTTAAAATTCTTTTTTTATTTCAGATTTTGTTTCACGAAAGGTGAAATATGGCAGATGATGATTTAAAATTAGACTTAACAGGTAAAAAAAAGAAATCGAAGAAGCCAATCGTACTGGATGATGATGCATCAAAAACAGATGAAAATGTAGCTCCAGTCGCAGATTCGGAAGAATTGGTGTTGGGACCAAAAAAGAAGAAAAAAACGCCAAAAGTACCTGTTGTTGATGAGGAGCGTCTTCTGGAAGAGGAAACTGTACCTGTGGCAGGTGTTGGTTTATCAAATCTTATCGATTCAAAAAATCCATGGCCTGATTACACTTATGAACAATTGCTGGAACTAGTTTTTGGTATAATGCGTGAGCGAAATCCGGAATTGGCAGCTGGTGAAAAGAAAAAATTCGTCATGAAACCACCTCAGGTAGCTCGAGCTGGTAGCAAAAAGACAGCATTTGCTAATTTTGCTGAAATTTGTCGATTACTGAAACGACAACCGAAACATGTACTGCAATTCTTGTTAGCGGAATTGGGTACAACGGGTTCAATTGACGGCAATAGCTGTTTGATTGTTAAAGGACGCTTCCAACAAAAACATATTGAAAGTGTTTTGCGAAAATACATTAAAGAATATGTTACGTGTCATACGTGTAGGTCTTCTGAGACAGAATTGACGAAAGATACACGTTTGTTTTTCTTAGAATGTAAGACGTGTGGTAGTCGATGTTCCGTCACTGCTATCAAGAGTGGTTTTACCGCTATGGTAGGAAAACGTGCTGCGTTGCGACGCGCAGCAGAAGCCACTGCAGGCAAATAAATTACATCAAAATTTTGTTAATTTGTATAACTTTAAAATACTATGAATAAAATTGCTTCTTTTCATGTCATTCTCAAGAATTCTAAAATTGATGATAGTATTTTATCTTCTATATATAAATATTTAATTTGAATTTTTGTTCTCTTATCTTCATTAATCCACATTTTTACTGGGAAATAATTTTTTATTTTAAAAAATTGGATTTTTTTTAAATTTCTCTAATTTGCATCTACTGTTTATAACATTTTTCCAATGAATTTTACATTGTTTTATTCCTTCTTTCCCCTCATTATGAAGTTTGTATTAAATTGATGGATGTGGTTGTTTCTCATATATCGATAAAGTTCGCAGTGGTATTAAATTCAGCATTGTAGACAAAGGTGTTGAGGAAATACCCTCTTCTATCTGACACATATTAGCCGAATATCGATCCCAATCGAATGTTTTTTTTCCTAATTCGTGGGAAGTTTTGCATTCGGTTGTGATCATCATTTCAAACTTTTGAATTGATATTTTTTCTCATGTTCATGGATTCAAGATTTGGATGTGCGCGATAATATGATCGGGTATTAGTCAGTATTGAAAACTGTAGTTATCAATCTATAACGATCGAATTTAAGTTTAGATTTTTGATATATTTCAGCAAATTTCTTGTAGTGGAGTTTTTCGTGGTTTCACGGAATACATTCAGCAGTCAATTTGGGATAGGATTTATTAAACATAAGATGATTTTGCGTTGATAAATTATGTTAACTCTAAGGATAATGAATAGCAGATATTTCTATTCTGAATATTTTAATGTTATTAAGATAATCCGCTAAACATTGTGAAGTAAAATAGGATCTGAAGATGTGTATGTGTGCATGTGTTTTTGATAACAAATAAGAGGCAATAAATTTCTGAAGCAAACTAAAATTAGCACTAAAAGAAAAGGATTACAAACGTTCACTGAATGATATTGGCTTCTCACAGAAAAGCTATACAATGATAGCTATGAGCTGAAAATATTGGAATCTGCTGAAAGCATCATTCATTTGTTCATTATTCATTTTCTGTTCCAGCTTCTAACAAATGAGATGGAGCAATTGAAGATATCGGACTGGAATAGTTTGGAAGGTTTAAAAAAACAAATTTGTTCAAACTGTGGTCGAAAACGAATGTATTTTTGTTACAATTGCAAAGTTTACATGCCTGATGTGGAGCAGTTGGTCCCGCGACTAGAGGTTGAGTTCCACATTTGGCAGTATGTTGATTTAATTATTTTCCAAATAGAAAAAAAATTTCTCATGAGAGAATTGGAGCTAGCTTAAGTAGAAAGGATCCGGGAATAAATAATCTTTTCTTGTGCTAGTTTTACGATACGGGATTGCTTTTGAGCAGAAATACTTGACAGAGAGCTGTCCAAGCTTATGACGTCTTAAGTTGCGCTGTTTTTATCTGTTAACTTAATAGTACATAATTTGCAGCTGCCAATTCATATTGATATTATCAAACATCCACAGGAAAAGAATAGTAAAAGTACCGCATTGCACTGTGTTCTTCTTGCGCCATCTTCCACTACACTGTATGAGTCATCAAATGTTCCTGATTACAACTCTTCGAACTATGAACAAGAAAATACGGTATTTCTTAGCTCTGATCACTCGTCTTTATGTAATTATGCTTCAATAATACTCGCGCTTATTAAAGCCATTAATTTAATTCATTCATTAAGTTATGAAGAAAAAATAGAGTAACACTTTTGACAGGTGTTGGTAGTTTATTCCGAAAATGCTTCTTCTGTAGATGATTTTGTGAAGAAACGAGGTCCTATCGGGCGTTTTGTGTTCCTCGACTCAACATGGTTTCAGGTTTATTTTTGTGATGTTACATTTAGTCATTATTCTTCGGTAGTAGCTCGCAGGACTTTTTTAAAGATCCAAAAAATTTTTAAAATGTATTTTGATAAATATTAATATAGTCTTTTTTTTTTTAGATTGGGCGATTGAAGCTATTACCACAGTTACAGCTTCTTCCTATTGTGACATTGCGATCGTACAAAACGAAATATTGGCGACCTCAGGTTGAGTTTTAAGTTTTGGTTATCAGTTTATGTTATCAGGCTTCTATTTCTTTCGTCCATAAAATAAGACAATACACCTTTAAAAGAAAGAGTCTTTTCAATGCTTCTGATTTTTGTGGAGGTTTCAGCGGGGATTGACGGATTATCATCTTGCTACAATTGAAGCAATCTATTGTGCACTTAGGGAAGCTTTTGAAGCATCATCTACTATAAGATATGATGGTTGTTTTGATAATCTTTTATTCTGGTTTTTTATTTTTCGTTCAAAAGTTAATGAAGGCCTTTTGAAAAGGGAAGAATGAAGTAGTTTATGAGTTTAACAAAGTTTTATTGTAGAATGGTAGTTTTTTTAATGTTTTTCACAGTTAATGGGACATTTTTAATTCCATAGATATTCGATATGTATAATTTGATCATTTTTGTGGCTCTTTTTAAAGGAATGCCAATGAGCAAAGAAAAGAAACGAAACAGGAAAATTAAACAATCAATTTGTTAACGTATATAAATTTTGTTACAATATTGGCGGAAGTGATGCAACTGAAATTTTACTTTAACTGATATTTTTCATGTTCTAGTAGTATACAAAGCTAGCATAGGCAGTGTTTTTTAATTATTACATTATGTATTATCTTTTTGTGAAGTGTAGTAAATCCATATCGGATAGTTGTTAATTTTGTTGATCTGTATTTTTACTAAATCTAGTAAAATACAGCATGTGTGAATTAAAAAATATTTCATTCAACCATTATCAGAATATTCTTCATCTTCTGCTATTCCTTGCATTAGCCTACTGAATTGCATTTCTCGATTGTATGCTCGAAGTAAAATGTATTCTCGATCACGGAGCATTTTTAGATGTTTTGCTTGGATAACTGCAGACCATACGTATAGATTTTTATTAATTAAGTATGCAACCTGAATTAGTAGAAGATAAATGATTATCGTTGTTATCCATAATATAATAACAGCTTCTTCGTGTTTATCTGCATATGTGCCACTTTTTGTCGTAAACTGCAACTTCACCGTTATCAGAGTAATCTGCTTTCGGTAAGATAATAGGAAGAAATTCCCTTTGCTTATTAAGGATAATAAAAATTCCAGGTTCGTTTGATCTTTTTAGTTACTTAAAAATAATAGGATGGGCCAGTTTTGGATTTTCTACTATACAGTTATACTGTAATCTGTAATTGGTGAAAAATCGTTGATACCTGTGCAGTATGATGAGTATAATTGGATTCAAAATCTGGCCAGGTATTTGCTGTGGAACTTTTAAAATGCATAATAAAATAGAAGTTGGAATCACATAAAACAGAGAGACCACCGCTAGATTGACTTCAATTGATGCAAAATGTATTCTTAAAAGTAAAGATTCTGATGGAAATAAATTGAGCAGCTTTCGTGAAAAGTTGGAAATATAATAAGTGATATATAATTGTTAATTGCAAACATCTGTGGATATTATTGTTTACATCTTTCTTGAATATTTTATCGAAAACTATTTGCAACATTCTTGGAAAAATTTTCAGCTTTTAATTTGTAGTTAATTTATCCCTCATTGAAGCGTTCTTGGAGATATTTTATTGGTTTTTGAATGGATTACATTTTGTTAATTGATAACAATTATATACTAAGAGTTTGAGAAAAAAAAAATTCACATCAAATGTTTCAAGAGATGGAACACTTATTTATTATAACGTAAAATAGCATAGGTCTGTCGTTTGAATTTGCAAAAGTGCGGTTCGATCGGGATGAGATTCGAACTCACGCGGGGAAACCCCAATGGATTAGCAGTCCATCGCCTTAACCACTCGGCCACCCGATCAGCAGGACTTGACGGGAAAGTTTGTTGATGAATAAAATTTTTATGTTTACTTTTCACAATTGGAGTCAACATATTTTTTGAAATTCAAAATTTCATAAAGTTTAAGGAAATAATGTTATCGTAGGGCTAAAATGTATATATCATCCCATCTTTTTCTCGATACCAAGTGACCTTCCAGTTACTTTTGTTTAACCTATTTCCTGCTTCATATTTCCAATTATGAGCTAAACCTAGCAAAAAGTGTTTAGTAATTATTCCAAAGCTAAGAGAAAATGGATATATTTCTTGTTTCTTGTTTCAATTTTGAGAGGAACTTCGGAGAAATTTTGCGGTTGATTCATTCAGAAAATATTCCAAAATTTTCTTGGGGGATATCAATATTCAAATTTTTGCTTCCATCTTTTGGAATAGATTCAAAAAGTTTTAATAATGAAGTTTTAAAAAAACTAATAAACATTTCTTTTATATCAATCGATAATTTGAGTTCTTCCTAAAGTAAACATCCGATTGTTTGAGTATGTATTAATCAATCAGTTAATATATTATTACTCAAATACTTAATTTGAAGCAATTTAAATTGAAATTTTCAAATGTACGTTTATAATTCAATTTCTTAGCTCTCATTTAATATCTTGTTTCTGAAATTAACCAGCAACAAAACATTCATTCATCCCGATGCTTAGTAATAAATTGAGAGTTTTTAAAGAAATTGCGCCTCATTCAACAAATCAATCATTATTAGTTTATTGTTATGCTAAATTAATTAGTGAGGCTAACTTTTTACGCATGAGATGCTTATTGATTGCATATATTTTACTATTTCATTTTTTTTTTAGTAAAAGAAATTAGTAAAAATAATATTTTACTGTTTCATTTTTTTTGATTCAAAATTTTCAAATATCCAAACGTAGTGAAAACTAAAAATTATTACATAATATCAACAAGCAAAATCGTAGCATTCCATTTTGAGGTGACAGTTTAAAATGGAATATCGCTAATTAAATGATAAAATAGTGATTATTTTCATTGGATTTATCACATTCATTTATTTTTTAAACATACTAAGAAATATGAAATAGAGAGAGAGGGAAGGAGAATGGAATGAATTTTTAAATGGATTCAAAGTTTTAATTTATCTTTTAGAAATAGGAAAAAAACGAATAGTTTTTTATTTGTAATGTATTCAGTAATATTATTGCATTCATTGCGTGTAACATAAATTTTATAACTTATGAATAATTGGTTTTCGCTTCATTGTTACCTTTGTTATTTACTTTTTCGGAGGGCCTAGAAATTTGAAAACCTAAATTTAAAACTGGAAGAATTTAAATTTTGAAAATAATTTAAGTCAATAATTTTCTGCAACAATATATTTCTTTATTATTTTTATTTTCTGTAATAAATTATGCAATAACTGAACTCTAATTACCAAAGTAACAATAAATTAATTGCTTTGGTGAATTACAATACACAATTACAATACAGATCAGTTTTTTTTTTTTGAACATATGGATGAGAAAATTGAAATTTAAACTTACAAGCGGATGATATTTAGTTGCATTCATAGCAAATATTGCTAAATATTTTTATCGCTTTCAAAACTGAATTTTTGACTTCTGGTCTGTAATAAAATATCATTTAAATTGGAAATTTTGCCGGACAAGTTTGACTATAAATGATTACATCCAATAACACATGTTATCAATTACTTCGAAGAAATTTGGATTTCATTTAAAAATCGAAAAAAATTTGAATTGTTTTTAAGATATAGAAATAGCCAATTTGTCAAGGCACAGTTGAAAGTATTTTCTGCTATTTGGACGATAACATTTAAATTAATAACTAAGACAGTAATTGTCGATAAAAATGTCAAACATTAGCAAAATTTCCTTTGCACTTGTAGAATATGCTATTAAAAATATACTATTAAATATGTAAATTATAACTGTTTGAATTCAAATTTCAATCATTAATTTTAGTTCGATTAATTCTCAAATCAAACCTGTTAGATTATGAAATATGAAAATTATGATTTCTTTAATTTGAATTTAATTAATTAAATTTAAAATAAAATGCAAAATGATAATGGTTCGCTGATAAAAAAGGTATTTTTCTCGACTGATTTGGAGTTTTATATTAGTTTAATGTTTATATTAGGTAGAAATACCATTGTTGATTACTAATGGCATTACTAACTTATTTAATTAATTTGATTTCATAAATTTGGCTCCAAATTTTATTTGCAATTAAATTAATTTATATGATTTAAAATAAAAAATGCGAAAATACCAAGGATTCAAGAAGTGATGTGTTAGTTTGCGTCGATTTCACTCGTTGTTTTCCACGTGATTCAGCTTTTTTGGTAATTTGTTTTTTACTTGATTCTGGCATAACCTTATACAAAATATGATTCTTTAATGGCATTTCTGATAAGATTTTATCAAAACTTATCAATGACATATTCTCTGCAACATGAATTAATAAAATTATATTTCAGTGAATGAAACATAAGAATTTCTAAAAATTCCAATTAAAAGCTAAAAATTTTTTTTCCGGATAAACTGCATATGTTGTTTTTTTTAGTAACATATGTTTCATTTCTTTTTTGAAATCAATTCTCAAATAATAAATTATTCAATTCATCAATTTTCATCAAACGTAGCTATTGAAAGTTGAAATTTTGTCGAAAATCTCTCAATATAATCTAGCTATTTGGTAAAATCTCAACATCTAATTAAATAATTACTAACCCTTTTCTAGCTTCTTATCAGTAACACCATTATTTCTATCATTCTCACTGTTTTTATCACTATGATATTCGGATCGATCATCATCGCATTCAATATTTTCCAGGGCATTTTTATATTCTTTGTCGATATTTTTATCTATCCCCTTGCAAATAAAAAAACAAGAAAAAATGAAAAAATCATTAGATTTTTTGTATTGTCCGTGTTAAAAATTCAAGATTTTTATGTTTTCTGAATTACAAAACATTTAACTTTTAATTAATTCTAAAATGAATACAAATAATGCTAATAGATGAATAATAGC